GTATTTCAAGTATATTACTAGCGATATATATTCAGAAATGGAGAATAATAAAGGTGTGATAATGAAACTGATAARAAATAACGCAAAAAGATGCATTGCATACACTGCAAGGGTGTTTATAACTAAATCTGTCAACTGCAATCTTTATTTCCTTTTTTACCGTTTCCAATATGCTTGAATTATGGTTGATAATGTCGAAACAATGTCAGTAGAAATGAATTCATATTTTTGATACTTGGGCAGTTGTTATTTCAACTAAATTTATATTATGTTGTTATATCTGAAAGTTACCTAAAGATTTCTTGTGAAGAGGTTTTCCATTCATCTCAAGTGATCTTGTTTTCAGTTTTATCGATTCTGCTCATCTAATGGTTCCAAGAATAAAGCGTCTACCGATACGTTATACAGACAATCCATTTAGTAATGCGCCATTCTGAAAATATGCCAACTAAGCTGGTGGTGTATTAAAATATTAAAAAAGGACACTTTACTTAATAGTTATGTAACAAGATAAATTCAACACCGTAAAAAAGTAGGTGAAATAACTTACTGCCGTTTCGCTCGGACGTTAGCCCTTCGTTTAATTCCGACAAAATTATGTATTAAAATATTAAAAAACTTAATAGTTGTGTAACAAGATAAATTCAACACCGTAAAAAAGTAGGTGAAATAACTTACTGACGTTTCGGATGTTAATCCTTCGTTTAATTCCGACGAAGGATTAACATCCGAAACGTCAGTAAGTTATTTCACCTTCTTTGTTACGGTGTTAAATTTATCTTTTTACACAACTGTTTCTTTAGAAACACCGACGCAGCTCACACTAGTTTACGAGTGAATAACAATTCTCCGTCTCTCTTGTTTGTCTCTATGAACTTCCCTCTTTTGAAGTTCAGCTGCGGGCTTTTATCCAATAAGTAAAGTACAMTATGCTAATACGTAATCGGGTAGTTTATTAGACACAGCGTATTCTTGTATTCATAGTCCAAAAACGTCATCTGAGATTTCACGAATTTTCCTTCCTGGATCTTTCCTCAAGAGCCCCTTATTCAGTTCTTTTTGTTTATTATCCAACAATCGTGACCAGAATGCTAAACATACACCTGCATTCATATATTCATATCAAAAGAATGACAGTATTAGAGTTGGCATGATGTTGGAATAGTTAACTATTAGCACGTATTCCATTCAATTGCGATCAGTAAACAAGATGCTACCAGTATGAATAAAATTCTCAAACTGAGTTTTATATTCTTTTCAAAGTGGAGAGCAAATATCAAAGCCATTAAAAATATTTTTCACTAGCTAAGATTTTAAATAAAAACGYAGACGTTTCGGTCAGTACTCTGACCTACTTCCTCAGTGCGTTGTATTCAGTTTTTATATGACATCTTCCTAGCTGCAATTTTAAAATATTTATCAAAGGCATTGTTAGAGTGAGAAGTTCTGAAATAAATGAAAAATACGATAGCCAAGTAGATTGCGTTTTGAGGGAAAAAATTTCGATGAGAATTCGTACAAACACTTAATGTACAAAACAACAACACTTTTGTACTACTCTAATGTCAGTGTTTCGYGGACCTTTTCTCTGTTTAYTGTCTAACATGGCCGTCAGCTGCTGCTGGTAATTGCATTTTCACCATTTCACGATCAGTTCACAACTATAWAMATATCAKCTGGAATTCTTAAGTCTTTGCCAAAATTTATTACTTTCTACTGGTTTTAAGAAACAACCAACGAAACTAAACTTTAGTATATGTGCTGCTTCATCAGACATCAAAACTGGAATATCCCAGCTTTTATAGACCATTCATTTTTGGTTGATGGAATTTAATCTTGAGGTACTACCTATTAAACTACTTTACAACCTTGATATATTTTGCAAAAAAAGGATTTCAGACTGATTACCTTTTTTCCTTTCAATGATCATACAAGAAAAAGTTATATCTTATCAATTTATTTTATGTAACGCTTATATATTTGTTGTTTATATTTTATTGTTATATATATCTATTGTTTTGTATTTTTAATTTTGCGTCTTTCAAATTTTACTATTTTTCTTTTGCTATAGAAATGTTGCTCGAAGACACAATATGAAGCTACCTATCAACATAGCAGTTTTAGAATTTACAMATATTCTTGCTATCTGATTGGTTGCCTTTTGCTAGGCAGCATTGTGATTGGATGTGAAAAAAAAAAAGCGATTGGGACTCAAAACAGGCGATTCATGCTAAAACTCCATATTTTGGACCARTCAGAATACAAGATTTTCTAGTAATTTGAAAATGGATACAAAAACKAAAGTAAATTTACCTGTCTATTATAATCTGCACACATTTACAAACTGAACAGCAGCTTTCATATTAGAGCATTCAGTACATGCTTTCGCCCGTCCAGTTGTCTGAGTTTCTGTTGTCGCGAAACCATTATAAATGGTATTTCAAAAAGGTATTTCAAAAGATTTATTTCATACTATATTATAGCTGACTTTGAAGTGGTGAAGCATTTGTCTATCATGTTTATCACAAAGTTGATATATAATTGCAATTTGTAGTTGACTGAGATATTTAACTTAGATTTACGTGCCTAAAACGATCCTCAAGTTGCACTCGGGGCTAGTTGAGGTATTCGTGTTGTGATTCGTTAAACTTGACTCTGGAAGACTCAGTCCATCTTTACACTTTCTAAATGACGGCGCAAACGCTTTCAATATTATTTTTAACTTTGCTTCAAAATGAATAATCGAGTTTCGGTCTTTTTAAGCGGTTTTTATACTAGATTTATTGATTTAAGAAGAAAAGAAGAGAAAGCAAAATTGATATCTWGTCATTTTGAGCACATAACTTGCCAGTTTTAGGCTTGGATTTCTGTTTTGTCAGACATTTCACGTTCCCGAAACTAAATCCCTCCATTTTATTGTCCAGTTCTTTATACAGAAAAAAAAAAAAAGATTAACGAAGAGTGAAAAAGATTAAAAAAACAAGTTTGAATAACTTGGGAGAATAACATTAGCGAGGTTAAATTTGTGCGGCGTCAATGGGCGTTTGAAATAATAGGGAAAATGGAAAACACTCATAAAAAATTTAAACAAATGATTGTCTATAAAACCGACACTATACTTTTATCAAAAAAAATRTATTTGATGAGATTTTTCAGGCTAGGTGTCTTATTGATGAAATGATAATCCAATCTCCAACATATATCGCAGCTTACGGATCTGAACTAATCGAAATGAGACGGAAATATAATTAACTTTCAATTTAAGCGGATGTTTTGATTTTGTGCATCAGCAGGTATACATTATTCGAACCATATTATCTCCTTACCCACAAATATGTTGACAATGGTCCCGCCCGTCAATATGAAATAACTGTTTGTTTTCATTCATTGACCTGAGATGAGGTGGAACCCCGCAAGTGTTTTTCGATCATCCCTTTCATTGTTATTCTAAATTCTTTAAAATACAAAAATTGGATKCGTGCATTTATTTGCCTTAGCATACTATCCTTCTGAAACGCTCCAGTTACACTCATTTTAAAGTCTTGGATTATTTCATCCAATTCCTGATTTTTGCCTCGAAAGAAGTATGGAAACGAATGTGACGTCAACCTGAAAAGAAGACAATAACTTCTCTGATATTTGGTGTTGTTACAACCGTGAACAGCACACCGATTCGGCATTTTTAACTCAAAAATCTATAGAAAATCTACAAAAACTCTACTACCGACAGTGTTTGCATGAGGGTTTCGCAGTATCTGAGTACTGGGTTGACGTCACAAGTCATGTGATATTGTAGAATTGCTTGTCCACCACAGGGAGCTCGAAGTTCCTATTCTTGCATGTTTAAAAATTTGTAAAAAGTTGGGATTTCAATAAAATCATTGGCATGGCCAGAAAATCCGGACATTTGAGCCAGCAATCGCAGCGGTACTTCGCATAAATGCATAAAAACATGTTTGTAAATTTTACAAAGAAATGTATGGATCAAAAAAAATATTTGAGAATAACATTTCATCTGTTTTAACTGGAAAGATTCCATAGATGAATTCGTAGAGGGAAACTATTCTTGATTCCACTTTAGGAAATCCAAATAAATCCAATATTGTTAACAGCGTCCTTTTTGACAATTTATTTTACTTTCGTCGTCTCCCTTTGGCCTTGTATCTCATGGTGAAAATTCGCGAAGAAGCGAAACTTCACCGTAGCTGATCGTGTTCCTTTACATGTCACTGATATTCCATAGATCATTTCTCAAAGTCCACATATTGAGGTAGGAACACAGCGATTTTCAGCTATTTTGAAGACGATCAACAGCGTCCTTTTTGGTACTAGAAATCGTACAATTTGAAAACACTAACTTGACG